CGAAAAAAACGACATAGTATAGTAAGGCGTTTTTAGCCGAAAAAAACGACATAGTATAGTAAGGCGTTTTTGGCACGAAAAAAACGACATAGTATAGTAAGGCGTTTTTAGCACGAAAAAAACGACATAGTATAGAAAGGCGTTTTTAGCACGAAAAAAACGACAGTATAGTAAGGCGTTTTTAGCCGAAAAAGACGATAGTATAGTAAGGCGTTTTTGGCACGAAAAAAATGACATAGTATAGTAAGGCCTTTTCAGCACGAAAAAAACGACATAGTATAGTATGCCGTTTTTAGCCGAAAAAAACGACATAGTATAGTCAGGCGTTTTCGGCACGAAAAAAACGACATAGTATAGTAAGGCGTTTTTATCCGGCGACGACGCCTTATTGCGTTATGTTGTTTCAGGTTTCGCAACAAGACTGACAAGGTGGCAATGGCGAACCAACCGGATATCGTGATCATAGATCAAGGGCAGAGGAAAGCCGTTGTAGTGGATGTAGCGGTCCCGAGTGATGGAAACATCAGAAAGAAGGAACACGAGAAACTGGAGAAGTAGCAAGGGCTCAGAAAGGAGCTGGAGAGAGCCTGGAAGGTCAAGGTGACAGTCGTGCCTGTGGTGGTCGCAACAGATCCCGGGAACGACATCGGACATCTCCGTCCAGAAAAGCGCAGTGCTGGGAACGGCGAGGATACTGCGCAGACCCCTCAAGCTTCCTGGCCTCTGGTAGAGGACCCGAGCTGAATGAGGGACGGACACCACCCGAGGGGTGAGACCAGGATTTTTTTTTTTTTTTAATGTATATACATTTAATCATATATTGGTCAAATATCTTGACATATATCACGGATATATTGTCCAATCTACATTGCAATACATGATTGTAGTTATTTATAAATGCGAAATGACACCTATTTTGGACGATATAAATGCACATCTTGTAAGTTATTTTGCAATATATGAAAAGCGGCGATCATTTGTATATTTTGCCTCGGGGGTTGGATTCGAAAATGCCAAGGCGGGTTTCCCGGGACCTGGCGCGTCCTCTCAATCAAAAGTAGAGGTGGGGCCTCAAACTCGTCAGCTCTCTTTTCTTGAAAGTCGACAATGGACAAATTATTTGCAGCCAACAATTTATTTTCTTTTTTTTTTTTTTTTTAAATTAAAGGGCTTTATAAAAGGAACGGCCGAGCAAGAGTGCAAAATAGTCCAGAGGTTTGCTTGTTCGTTGATGCCACGATTGCGCCATCCATGTGAAAATCACTCCCAATTGCGTTTTTGGAACAAGCACAGCATGTCGCTGAAATTCAAAAGGAGGATCACGTGAAGGGATGCCCTCTTGGTGTCAGGGCGCTTGTCCCCCCCCACCCCCCCCCTCAACGCGAATGCTTCCGCGTTTGCCAAAAGGGATGAAAAGGCTTCGACGGCATCCGAGGTCACGCCGGACGTGAGCCGGAGGGCCGCCGGCCCAACCTCAAAGCGAAGACGACGCACGTTTGGTCGTTTTCATTTCGCGTCCGCTGGCTGCGATGGCGTTTGGGTCCCCGAACTGCGTCCACGCGCCGCGTTTCGGGACGTGGCCGGGACCGAAATAGCTTGCCGCCCTCTAGTGGTCTTATGATGCAAGTGACAAACAGGAGACCGCTTGGATTTCTTTTGTCTTTTTTTTTTTTTTTAATGTGTGATCGACACGCGCGCCCCGGGAAGCACTCGAGGCGAGTGTGCGCCTTTTGTGAGGGCGCGCGTCAGGTGTCGCACACGCGCAGACACTTTGGAGTGAGTTCAGTCATCTCCTCCGCACAAGCTGAGCAAAGCCTTCTGGTAGTCGCCCTTGGTGTGCTCCTGAAAGGAAACGAGAGGAAGCTGAAGACCGAGAGAGAGAGAGAGAGAGCTTTCTTCCAGTCGACCGCAAGCAAGCCCCTGCACTCACGTCCATCTTTCCCTTCCCGACGCCACCGCGACCCGCCGCGGGAGCGGTGGCGGAAGGTCGGCACCGGTGAGGCCTAAACGCCGTTTTTCTCGCGGAGCGTCCCGACCCGTCGGGTCCGGCCACCTCACGCGGCGCTCGTCGGCCGACCTCAAAGGGCGAGCCCGCGCGACCGGCGTCGCGGAGGCAACTTCTTCCGGGCGCTTTGACACGGCCGCGATCCCGTTCACCTGTTTAGGGGCTCCGTTCCCACGCCCGGCCAGCTTTCCAACTCCGGCGAACACGAGACCACGGGATTTTCGAGAAGTAATTGCGACGAGCCCGTTCCTTTCCACTCAAGTTGATGACCGAACAATACTGGCCTCCGATCGGTCGACCGCCGTTGATGTCACGTGGACTCATCGCGGCTTGCGCCTTTTAGCGGCCGGGCTAACCCGCGGGTCTACGTGGCAGCCATGTTAGTCAGGGCGACGTTCCCTTCAAAGGCGATGCAGCGCCACCGATTTTCATACCAAAGCTAACGCCTGTGCGATCAATAAGACCCCCCCCCCCCCAAAAAAAATTCATATATACACACACACATATATATCTTGTATGCAATTTTCATGAAAAATGCAGGGTGTGTATATATATGTGTGGACCTGTGAAGGCTTCCTCCCCGTTCTCCTGTCGTAACAGCCCAGCTTTGTCCACAGCACAACGGAGCGCCATCTTTGTTCTTTTGTTTTTCTTGCCGTCCGCACGTCGAGTCGCCGAGCTTAGCCATGCCATCGAGGGGGGGGGTCTCCCCGTTCATATCTGCGGTCAGAACGTCACGAGCGATGGCGATCGGAGGGGAGTTGTTTTTGTATCGCCCCCACCCGGGAAGGCTTTTTCCAGCCGACACATTTGGCGCCATATCAGGAAGCGTGATTTTGCCCTCTCATAACTTTGCTTGCCGTGAGTGGCAATTTGTCCATTGTGAGACGAATTCCAAGTTTTTCTTATCTTCTCTTAACTTGATCTCCAATATTTCTGTCGCCGGCACCGGCGAGAAAGTCGGCCCAGCCGCGCACGGCAACTTTTATGAGCGCGGTGGATCCTGCGGGCTCCGGAAGAAGCGTTTTGCGCGGGGCGTGACCGTCCGCCTCCGTATGTTCCGCCGTCTGTATTTTGATGATAAAAGCGCGCTCCCGACAACGTCGGAAAGATCGCTTTGCGCTGAGTCGCGATGTCGGAATAGCAGAAGAAAAGACGCGGAGGCGTCGGGTCTTTAGTCCCCTTTGAGAGAAACTTTGGCCGAATATGGGTGCGGAGGAAGGCCCGAGAGAGCGTCGCACCGGAAAGCTGAGCTCTCTCTCTTTTCGGATCTCGCCAAAAGCCCACATGGCAAATATGGCAGGCCGTGACGTTCCCCCAAAGCGCCGCGGGGCCCGAGCTCGGGTCGGCGCGCGTCGACGGAACGGCTCAAAGCGCGCGGGCGGGCGCGCCGCTTCGAGTCCTCACGCTGATGGCGCGGTAGAGCGAGCGTCCGTGGCGCTTCTTGAACACGCTTCTGATCTTCATCAGGTCCACTTGGCATCGAGACACCAGGATGCGAGTCAGCACTTTGTCCTTGGCGCCTTTGCCCTGAAAGCGGCGCGGAGGTCAGACGGGGGTCGCTCGGACGCGGCGCCGGCCGCCGCCGCCTTACCTTCATGGCCTCGTTGAGTCTGTCGGCAAAGTACGCCTGCTTGTCCTCCAAACATTCCACTGCGGGCGCACACACACGTAGTCAGCGGTCAGCGACGCGAACCCCCGCGCGACTTTGCCGCGGAGGAGGCGGGAGGAGACGGCGTACCGAGGGCCAGGAAGGATTTTTCCAGGTCTCCTTTGACTTCCTTGCCGATGCTTTCCTTCAGGTCGTACGGACTGTAGCTCTTGTAGCGCTGGAAGACTGGCGGCGGGGGGGGATGGGGGGAGCGTGAGATGGCGAACGGCGACGGACGGGCGCCGGCCGGCCCCGCTCACCTCGTCGCAGGTGGGGGGCGCTCCTCCGCGTCAGAATGCCGATCCAGACGGCCACGTCGGTTCCTTTGCGCTTCACGCCGGCTTCGT